AAACTGTATCTTTTTTATTGAACTGCTCTAGAAAGCCATTCTTCTGATGGATCACAGCTCTTCTCGGGGAGGAAGAGAGTTTCAATTATCCTTTGATACATGAAAAAACATTACTAGCGAGTAAACCCTCCAAAAATAAAACCAGGTAAGCCTCTTGCGCTAAGGCTGGGGAAAAAAAGTCAGATCATTCTGAGTAAACTACTCACTACAAAGGGATTTCGAGGTCCCTTCGAACCCTTGCCATTCTGTGATTCTGTGATCCTATGATTCACTGACCTTACCAGGCAGCAAAAGAGAAACCAAACTCAAAAGCTGATGTTTTAACCGATTAACTCAGTTTTAAAGTTTGGGGATCCTAATTGCCCCCAAAGCTCTTCAATCTCAATCACGCCATTTCCACTGGTGAATGCAGCAGAGATTCAAGTGCTGGGTGTCAGGAATGAGATGGCTCTGGCACCGGTGGAGGTCGGCACTTGTGCGTGGGGCTTCCAGCTGTTCGGGGACCGGCAGCTGCAGCTCCACTTCACTCGGGTGAACCAGCAGTTCCTCTCCTAAATTAAGAGGAAATTTCACATTTCCAAGGATTTCTGTGGGCCTGATGGTAGCACACCCTTGGATAATACTCTCCAAAAACTGGCTGAGATGAGACGAGCTCAATGCAAACATCCTCCACTAGTTAATGCCTTCATCACATAAGCCATCGCCACTTTGACGGGCTCTCAAGGAGCTGCTCGTGCCTTCAAATCCTAATTGTGCATTTGTAGCGTGGTTTGCAATGTCTTTGCCCCCTTTTAGTCTATGGTCCTTTATCCCCCCTTCTCTTCCACCCAGGATTCAAGCCTGGCTGGAGAAGTGGTGGGTTGGTAGCACAGCGAGAGCAAAGTACTTCGTAACTGTATGTGGGATTCCACGTTCAAACTACGTGAAGGAAATGAACTCGTGTGGCTTTGCTGGAGTCAATGGAAGGGGAGTACTCTAATAATGTCCTTATTCTCCTAGATCATCCTGCCAAAGAATTTAAAAAAATTGGAAAGTTTACCATGCGCTCCACCTCCCTCTGCCGTGGGACCACCCATCTAAGGCCCCCAGCCACCACCACAGAAATCACGGGCGCTGATCTCAATAGCCAAGTGTTGCAGCTGCTGCAAAGTCCACATTTGCACAGTTATGTATTTGACGTCCAGTTTAAGCATAGATCAGAAACACTACTAGATTGGATACCCAAGAACTGAACCACAGCATTTCACACATTTCACAGCAGAGCCGCCAGCTCAAACTCCCTTTGCCTGATTGTCAGTCCAAAAATTTTACAAATCCTACATTCATTTCCACACCAAAATGAAAAAGAAAATTAAAAAAAAAAAAAATCAAGACTACATACATAGCTCAGTTTGTACTTCTTGCCCATGGCCCAGACAAAGTAAAATCCCATGGCCTTTTCAGTGGCTTACATTAGGAATGTAAAGGAAGATAACACTACTCCTAAGTCAACATCTGAAAGAGAAAACCAGCTTTTCTTAGCACCTTCTTCTGCACCCAAGCAGAATAAAACTGAAATAGGCATGGGAAATAGATTTGCTATCACACAAAGACCTGGGCTTTTCAGGACAAGCAGATTATCCTGCCTCGAAAGCAGACAACTGTGGGCTTGGGCTGTCAATTGAAAACAACCTTTATCAAATATTCAGTGTGGTTCTCCAACAAGGGAAAGAAAAATCAAAATACAAAGAGGAAATATGGATTTCAGTTTGCAGTCTTAGCTTGGGATCTAAACAAGCACGATCCCCATTGCATTGCCTTCAGGCTGTCTTCATCGCGGCTGCCCGAGCACGAGAGGACATCACAGGGCACTTCCCAAATCCGCCTTTCCCACAGAGTCCCCCGTCACACCGCTGCCATCGGCCCTGTGGCCCAAGGTCTGCCCACTGCGTCGCAGAGGCTTCTCCTGGCCTCTGCGGATCAAGGGGTCTCCAAATTTCAGTTTACTTGGAGTCTATTTTTGGAAGGGATAAATTTGGGGGAAAACAGGAAAATATTTTAAAGGAAATGGAATGCTTCACCTTTTACTTCAAAATGATTGACAGGTGGCCACTCTTTTTTTTTTTTCCCCACATTCCCCATTTCATCTGCTCAGGACAGCGAAATTGTGGGTCACAAAACACAGCAGAACCAGTTTGTCATCAGCTTGGCATGGCGATGCAAGAGCATGCGTGCCCGTCCCCGAGCGGCGGGGACCTCGCGCGGTGTTCGCTGTGGCCCCAGCCCATCTTTGGCCAGAAGCATCGCTGTGGCTGCTGCTCAAACTAGAAAATGAGCAAAAAAGGAGCCGTCCAGATGGCACGATGGTCAGAGACAGAATAGGAAACATAGCAGGAGAGTCTGCTGCAAAAAAAAAACCCCATGCATTCTGTTCTGGCAGGGCTCCTGCAGCCTTGGGCAAAACCAGCCCCTCCGAAGACTTCCGAAGAAGTCACACAACCCTGCCGAAGAAGTCACACAACCCCTCCAAAGAAGAAGTCGCGCCAAAAGCACCCACAGAGAAGCCTCTCGGATGATCCCGCAGTTCTGTGGCTTTCATGAGAGATCAGCAGGAGGCCACACATTAAGGTTTGGTTTCCACAAATCCTCAATTATGAGACACACCAACCTCCTAAGCAAAAACCTGCGTCAGGGTCCCACCGTACCTGACCTGCTCCTCCATCCACAGTTAAAATCCAGTGCTTGCCAGTGGGAATTTGCTTTATTATTTTTAAGGGTGCCAGACCTCAAAGTCCATCCAGACTCAGAGCGCCCACTGTTTTCCGAGCAGCCTTCCCGCCGCAGTGCGGGGGATTACGGACACCACAAACCGCCTCAGAAAGCAGGGAGCTGGCAGCACCCTCGGAAGGCTCCAGCCCCCCAGCATCACCAGTATGGACCATTATATCTTCCAGACAACACCAGTTTCTCAGGGGAAGAAACCAAGCCATCCCAGTCGCACCCATCCGGGGTGCACGGGCACCTTGATCAACAAACACACGTACCACTTGGCATACCTTACCTGGAAAGAGGCTTTATTGAACAGAGCTGTAAAATTATCTCTTCAGTTGAATTTACTGAATTTGCACAAACATTTCTCTACAGAATAAAAAAAATCAAGCCTTGTCATTGTTTTACTGCATCTCGTTGTGCTTTTTATACTCATATTTGCAAATATTATACTCGTTTGTTTGTTTGTTTTCATGTTTGCACTCCAATTGCTTGCATATCAGGTTTTTTTTTTAATCCTAGGGTGTAGAGAAAACACAGAATAATAATAATAATAATTATAATAATTATAATAATAATACTTTTATTTAGACAAAAGTCTTTTTTTTTTTTTTTTTAAAATGAAGTTAAAAGCTGAGATAATTTAAGGAAAAAGGTTTTCAAATTGTCATAACCAACTGTAAGGGAACTTTACAATGCAGTGGAAAACCAGCTGGCTAAGGGTACGTGTTCGGGTAGCTCCAAACCATTTGTACAGCTTTTATTTTTTTTTTGTTTGTAAAAGTGGATTTTTTTTTTTTTAGTTGGTTTTTTTTGTTGGTTTTTTTTTTTGTTTTTTTTTTTTCAGATGCAGATACTGGCATCTGAAAAAAAAAAAAAAAAATTGGAGGAAAAAACCGGAAAAACAAAGCGGGGGGGAGGGAGGGGGGTTAGAGTCAGAAAATCACTTCTGTGTTTGACCACCTTCTGCGCTAAGTGTATCTTAAGAACCTTTTCCTCTGGTTGACCCACTTGATAACCTGAAAAAACAACAACAACAAGAAAAAAGAGTGCTGCTCCCATGTCCAGGACCAACGGAAGCGGTTTTCTAATGGATAATAAGCTGAAAGGCCATGGCTGTCTGGAAAGTTAAACAACAAATATCTCCTCCGAAAGGGCTTACGCAGCAGCTTAGGTCCATCCATCTCCAGAAGCGGCTTCGTCTCCTTGCCTGCAGTCTGCACACCCAGGCTCCGTAGTTTGTTTAGAAAATAGTTTGCACAAACCACATTTTAGCAGTGCAAGCTTCTCTGTTGAAATTATTATCATTATTTTATTTTATTTTTATTTTATTTATTTATTTATTATTTTTAAATCAGGCTTGTTTCATTGAAGGCACTTGGTTTCCATGGCAATTTATAAAAGACGGTGGTTTGGTTTCTTCACTTCATTAGAACAGATGACTTAGTCGGGGAGGGGAGAGGGGTGTTCGAGTGGCCGCAAGCAAACTCTGATAAGCCTGTGTAATATGTAAGCCCAGGTCGCACATCCTGGATAGTAATGCATGCAAAAGGAGACAGCATACAGTTATCGAGCATAGCCATGAGAAATGAAACATAAATGTCTTAAAACAGCTCTGATTTAGGGTTACTCTCTAGGGGAGGTGACAGCCAAAGTAGAAAGGGCCTACATTGATTTAACTCTATGCTAAAAACCATCGTGAAGGGAAAATGAACGCCAGCTCTTCACATACCCTGTTTACAGTGAGGTGTTTTTCTCCCTCTTTCTCCGTTTTTATTTCCTCTCTTTCTCTCCTTCCCCTTTTTTCTTTTTTTTTTTTTTTTTTTTTTTTGTTTTGTTTTTTTTTTTTTGGCAGGCCATTAGGTTTCCATGGTAACAAGCAAACTATTCATTTGAAACAAAACCAGCCATGACTTTGTGCTTTGACAAGGGTTTCTATAGCTCTTTTCCGAGAGTTCAACCAGATGATCCCGTATTCGTTATTGACCACAAAAGCACCTGAAGGTCTCTTCCTTACTTAGGCCAGATCTCGTTCTCACGCATGGTTCATAGTGAGTTACACTCCCGTGATGCCTTTTATGTCCCCAGTGCTTTTTAATTATTTTTTTAATTATTTATTTATGTATTTATTTAACTTTTGAGTCAGTCAGTGGAGGAATCTTTGGTAGTTTGTTTTTAGATGTCCATTTTACAAAGACTCTTTCTTCATGCCAGTGCCTGGTGAATCTTTTGTAGCCTCTGCCAGGATAAGGTCACCTCTGATGACTTAAGACAGACATGAGGATGGTAACTGGGATAAGTCGTATATGCGCTAATGTCCCAACAGCACCTGATCGTAAATCTACAAAAAGGGGTGAAAAAGGTAGAATTAAAGAGCTGCCCAGACACAGTCAGCATTGCTACAAGGCTGAGGAGATAAAGGGCTCAGCCACCGTAACCTGTCCTGCACACCAAGAGGGGGACAACGGGGTGGTGCTCGGCCAGGCTGTCTCCGCTTGTCACAGCAGGTGCCATCGACCTCCCCCGGCAGAGCCCTGCTCCCTGCAGGGACAGCACCCTGCCAGGTCACCTCCTGGACAGAGGGGATGAGAAAACTGTCCGAGGCAGGAGACGTCGGGATAAAAAAAAACCAAAACCCACCTGGCTGTGCAGTGAAGGTCTATACTGCACACGTGGGGGTGGAGGGGCAAAACAAGGTCCACAGGGCATCACCACACTGATATTCATTAATTGCTTGGACCCCCCTGAACCTTTTATTTTTAATGTTGCCTTAGCTGTCTGCCCATCCCGAACCACGGCTGCCCAGCCCCGCGGAGCGCAGCCCATCAGCCGCTTCCGCTAAACCAGCATTTTCCTATCTGAGCAAAGACAGTTCGACCCCAGAGCTTGCCCTCAAGGAAAACGCCTCACTTTAAGCCTCTCCAACTGAACCAAACAATATATGGCTCTGGAGAAAAATCCGTTTTAGAAGGTGTCTCAAATTTATAACCACGAGACGCAATTTGCTCTTCCCCACGCATGGAAGAGCCACTTACTGTTGGCCGGTTGGTCTGATTTCATACACTCTCCTTCCACAATCGATACATCATCAATAGCAATATCACCTTCGATGCCGGGACCCCGGATCCCTTCGAAGATGAGCTAAAAAAAAAAATAATAAAGCAGCAGCACATCAGAGGGTGACGAATGGAAAATGCTGCATTTTGCACGGCCTTAAACTACATCGATGGGCTTGGAATAACTCACAAGCCCCAAAAAACTGCAACCAAGTTCACATGTTCTTGTGAACAGAGAGGACGTGTGAGCCGTGGAGGCTTTTACTCTTCAGAATGAGCTGAGCAATATCAGAGCTGCTAGGTGCCTGCCTAGGGTCTAACCTGGTGTCCCCAGGGCAGCTTCACCACTACGCTAACTGTAACGTGCACACTTAAGGACGAGATTCCTGGAGCAAAGAGCAGGATTAAAAGGACAAAAAGTTTTGAAGCTCTTTGGGGTGTTTTTCCCAGAAGTTCCTGCCACCTGAAGCATGCGGCAGAGGCACAGCTTGAAGAACAGCACCTGCGATGCGTGGCAGGACTGAGCATCCACTTGGCCACAGACTGGCTGAAAACACACAGGAGACGAAAAAACTCCACAGTAAAATGAGGTTTCTGGCTCTTGAAGGTGGCCCACCCAGTCCCTCCCACCCCACGTCCCACACTGGGCTCCATCTGCACCCCGGGGGCACTTCCCTGCATGAGCTGCCCCCCTGCAACCTTCCCCCAGCCCATGAAAGCTTGGGAGAAACCTCTCTGGAGCCAGGCTGTTGTCCCTTCACCCATAACACAAAGCCAGATTTATCTCTAGGAGTCAGGAAGGGGCTTCGGTTTGGATCCCCTGAGGTCACAGAGTCATCTCCTGTGATCATCTCGGTGGATTTTAACCTCCCAGATCTCCTGTTGTGGCAGGAATCTATGACAGTGACAGCCCTGCTTCTCCCCTGTCCCTTTTAGCGGCCCATCATCATGTCTAGAAGCTTTGATCCCTTCTAGGGATAGTTTTGTATTTATCAGAGAACATTGCAATGTGTTTTATCACAGAGGGTCAGGGTAGAGATTTTATTCCTCTTTAAGGCTTTAGCCTCTGCTAAATGGACGTCTGTGATTTTGAGGTCCTCTTAATCACTATCTGTCAAATATTCCTCATCTGAAACCCCAACTGCTACAGCTGGTAGGTGAAATGGTGCCTGAATGGAGATGGGTGGCTTGTTGCAATTAATATTGTTTGCCGTAATGTTCGTTATTAGCTATGGGTTACTATGGGACTAAGGAAACAAAGTTACCCGCTCTCCTTCCCCAAACCCGTCGTGATGCTGTCCTGCCATGCTGCTGCTTAATTAGCTTTGCAGAAGGGTGGACTCATTCTGTGTCGCCAGAAATTTATTCACTAGAAAACTTCAAAGACTTTCTAAAGAGATGAAGGGACTATGTAAGGAATATATTTCCCAGGCAGCACCATTTGCACAGTTATCTCTCCTTTCCCTGTCCCCCCGCATCCCCCCTCTCCAGTCCTTTGAAATATTTTTGGTTAACTTAGATGACAAGTTTTTTAACTTTAATCTGCAACAATATATGCATGAAATTCAATGACTTTTATAAGGGCGTGCTGTGGCACTAATGGAGGCATTAACTCTTGGGGGTAGAGTCAATTTGAAAAAAAAAAAAAAGTATTAATTCCATCTGGAGAAAAATACTTAAATTACACTTCATAATGATCTAACTGCATCAGGGAGATGTCAGGGGCGCTTGGGTGGGCTCTCTCTGTTGTCCTGATTGCAGCGGAACACAGGTCCGAGCCTCTTCTTTTGGCAGCTTCTGACATTTCTTTGCTCATTAACACAGTTCAAGCAGAGCTTCTCGTTTGAGATGGATACCTTCCATTACAAACGATGCGTGAACACTCAGGGCAGTGGAAGATGACCCTGCAGATCACGGGGGTCTGGTAGCTGGTCCAGCTGGATGCATATCACCCAAGGCCTACATCCCAACCACGCACGATGCCACCAGACGTCACGTTGCACAGGCAATTCTTAGCTCTGCCTTTCCACAGAGGGCACGTTCCCCAACCTTGGCCACCCCCAACCTTGGCCCCCTTCAACCTTGGCCTCCCCCAACCTTGGCCACACCCAACCTTGGCCTCCCCCAACCTTGGCCTCCCCCAACCTCGGCCACAGTTGCGTCTCACCCTTTTGCTAAGCCGAGCTCCCCCGGGAGGTGCCTGACCCTGCAGCGGTGAGCTGGCAGTATGAAGGTTTGTATTTACTGCTGTGTCCTAAGCCGGGCAGCAAGGTCTGCGCTGGGAGCACTAAATAAATGTGAAATCTGTGCATTTGGGGCAGGAGACTCCACCGGTATTTTATTGAAGTGCGGCGCTGTAGGTTAATTACTATAACAAGGTGGATATTAATGCAATAGGGAACTGTAATTGGGAAAACAGTAAGTTTTTCCATAATTTACCCTGTTGTCTGAAAACAGTGTCTCGAGTAATTAGCCCTCTGACAATTTTTTGACTCTGCCTCTGATGGTGGGAAATATTCAGCTCGAGAGGGAAGTGTCTCCTCTTCTCCCCCGAAGTCCAGCTCGCCCTCCTGCTCCTTGGCAGCAGGCACGGAACCAGTCAATGGAGTTTAAAGTCAAACCTTTCCTGATAATGAAAAACACTGTTTCCAGACAAAAGGACTCCATACAAATATAACGGCCAGCGTTTAATTAAAATCTGCATTTGGCAGCGTGCTCGCTGGGCCGCTGGGCCGGGTTGCCATTAGCCAGCTTGGCCGCGTACTCAGAACAAATCACCGCAGATGAGTGTTGGCGAGGCACAGCGCGCGATCCAGCCCGCAGCTCGCGCCTCTCTGCAGGAGGTGCCAGATGATCAGAAGCCCCTACCAGTATCCCGCAAAACCCATTATCTGCGTGTCCGTGACTTTACCCAGCTGCTGCTAAAAACACTGCATTTAGCTGAAGGCTAGAGGGGCTTACGTGCAGAGCAAGGGCCACCCCGCTCTCTTAACAGGGGTGTATTGGGTCAAGCTGCATGGTGCTGTGCTTTCTATTGGTGTGCAGAAAGGGGTTGATAACACCCCAATCATAGAATCATAGAATCATAGAATCACTTTGGTTGGAAAAGACCTTTAAGATCATCGAGTCCAACCGTTAACCTAGCCCTGCCATCCCACCACTAAACCCTGTCCCTCAGCA